GCCTGACGAGAATTTATTGAAAGTATACGTATGCTCGCCAATTGCTCGTCGGATTTCTGTGATGGGCATTTTTGCAACCTTACTACAATAGTTTTCTTGATATATAGGCGTTCCTTTCAGTCATTTTTCCTTTCCGCGATCTTTTTTCCTACGTTTTTAGCTCAGTAAAGCAATCACAAGTGGCTTTAAGCTATTTCCTTCTGTGCACTTATCACGTATTAACCGCGCACTAACTGTGCATTAATCAAGCATAATACCTTTAACCTCGAAATACGTAAGACACCTCGGTTGGGAGGCTTTCGCCATTGGACGGCCCTACGATGAATCCATACCCCGCCAGCTAATGCTAAGCCGTTAGTAATAGTAAAGAATATCACTATTGATGGAAGACGACTAAAAAAACTATCCCGGACACGGTTATACTCAACAACTAGGCCATACCCCACTATAAGGTGACGGGTGATCCCTGTTTTAATAGCAGTGTCGATCACTTGTGAACAGGTCATACCGGCTATTTTCACTTACCTTGATTACTTTCTACTGTACCTGCTCGTGATTTCAAAGTCATGTGTCAAGTAATGCCTTTTAGGTCTCATTTGACTGGATTGTTGCAACGAACCAAAAGCACTTCCTCGATCCTATCGTCACCTTTATCACAGAACTGACCCAACGCTGGCGAGCTTCCGGTTACGACGGCTTGCGCCTTCAACAGGCAGCCTACAGGGAGGAGTTGAGCACAAAAAGGGCGGCTAACAGAGAGAAAATTGATCAGCAAGAAATCCGTCTGGGGCAGGTTATTGATGATCTACGCCGAGCAGACAACGAAGCCGCGGTGGACCAGCTGTTGGAGGAAGCTCTGGGCATGCTACAGGGCATTCAAACCCTGTGAGTTGACAGTTTCTATGGGAAATATACTTGCAAGAATGCATCCTCTCACAAATACCTGAAATCGTTTTCGATTGAGAAATGTTCGACTGGAAATTTGCTGCTAATTTGAAATCGTAACGGTAGGGTAAGTAGTTGGTGTTGTAAAAGCATACTAAATAACTACTAGACGTATTTAAGTAGATGTTATTGTGCCTATTCATTTTAGTTGGTTTATTAGTAGTTGCAGAAGGATTGAAACCCTATAAAGCTGTCAGGACGACACATTCTGTGAGCGGCGCTAGTGAGTATTCCTTACAAAAACACGATCTCCTCACTATTGGTCATGATTTTCCAGTTGGATAGGAGATGGAGAACATCGAACTCTATCCTGGTTTTTGGGCAGCTTATTGTGGTCAGGCTGGGAATTAAGCTTCTGCTTTATTTATCGGTGACCGCGTCATCGGCTGATAGGATAATTGCACTTTTTGGGTAAGTTGTCTTGGAGGCTGTATACGTAGTTGTACGACAGCCCGAGAACTGTACTCACAAGACCCCTAGCGCGTTGTGGACGCCATAGACTCTACAAACGAGTACTACTAATGGGTGCGGGACTCATTGAGACTAACTGCAGTAGGTTGTATAACTGATGGAACACAAGGCTTTTTACAGGAAAATCCCTGGTATGTAATACTAGCCCTTGCTACGTTCCCAAAAGTCTTCATGTTTAAAAGCTATATCGTGGTTCCTCAATTATTATTTCACAGTGAAGTGAAAGGACCTTTTTCTAGAAAAAAAATTCGAAAAAGGGAAGTATCGGAGCTACTAAGAAAACGTAACTTTTAAATATAGAGGTAGTGTTTTCATGCAAAAATTTGAGTGAATAAAACAGCACAAGAAGAATTACGTTTCGAAATAATCCTTTTTGAAGTTTGCGGACACACCTGCTGATGTATTACGTGCAATGAAAAGTAGGGTTGTTACCGAACAGCTCAAAGTTCTAGTTCGTAATAGAGGACGACTTCCCAAAACCTTTTAGTTGTTTCTTTGTTTCTACATCCTTTGAGATACGCTGGACTAAGCCAATCAGATTTTTACTTGATTTCGTCGATCGGGTCGTCACAGTAGTAAGGTATTTCGTAAACTCAGATGTGGAAATGCCGGTTCAAATCAATTTGTAATCTGCAATCGTAAACATGCCATCTTTTTTACATTTAGAGTATGCGTTATCTCATACGTACAATTACCTCAATTCCATGAAGACAAAAACATTATCTGTTCTGTAAATACAAATAATTAAAAAGTTTCCAGTCTTTATCAATGTTCTCTTAAAGTACAACACGCACAGGTAAGAAGTTTTGACCCGCAGCGTTTAATAGCATTTGGTCCAATTCTGCCACTATTTGCCCCCAGTATACTAATCTGAAGGTAAGTATTTTATAGTAAGTAGTATTTGCGTCTCAAGTCAACTTAATGTACAAAATTAACAACCTCCGGCATGTGTTAAGTACTCCAACCAAAGTTCAACCTTCACATTTCATCAGATATCCAATCTACTCTACTTCGTCTACTATCATACAGCCCACTTTAAATTTGAATGTCAAGCGTAAAACAAAATCAGCTTCTACTGCAAAGTTTAAAAGCCCTTACTCTTCTGCCTGTAGACGCGAACAGCATCACGAGTCGGTCGTGGACTTCCACAAGCAGTACCCAGCACAGGTAGCGAAAACATTACTGCAGTTCCACAGGGACGTCTGTCAATTCTTCGGTGTTCACCGCTGCAACCAAGCTGAGGTCCCGAAAAAATTGCAAAAGGACTTGGTGAGTTCTGACAGTGTAAGAAACCACACAAATAGAGACCAAAATAGTTGCAAGATGACCTTAAACTCACTCTCCTCTTTAGGAAAGCCCACTAACCCCAAGTT